GTCTCCTTGGATACCATCCAGTGTTGCGTTAGCTGCAGGTACGTCAAGCTGCGAAGATTAAGTGGATCTCAAACCTAACTGATAGCACAGGCATGTATATTATGCCGGAAATGATTTTGGCGCAAGGGATTGGAGGTCTGATTCATCATTATATCCTTGGGCGCTGGGGTCGAGAAAAGGAATCGCGCCTCATTTCCACGGCTACGGGCTTCATACTTGGTGAAGGCTTGTTCAGCCTAGTAACCATGATCCTGTAGAGCATCGACGTGCCACATTTATAATACTTTGCGTTCTAGGCTGACTATAAATCAAAACCAGCCAGATCTAACAGGCTGCTGTAGTGAAACGCCAAAGAGTGCCGAGACATGTCGTGGAACAAGATTTGCCAATGCGTGCTCCATGTAGATAATGAACTTCCTTTTATTAATTTGTATAGTGCCTCATTATTGTGTTGGCCGCAACTTTTTATGGTGAATTTCAAGCCATAGCTTTCCTCAGAGTGTCCATGAACTTCCATACATCCTGGAATGTGCAATACAAGGGCACTGGCGCAACACGGATCACTCCTGGCTTGCGTTTATCACAAACGATTCCTTCCTCAACAAAAGCTTCCACGACATGTTCGAGTAAGCCGTCCTTGAGCAGGACACTCAGCTGAGCACCTCTCTCGTGGGCATTCCTAGGCGTAAGAACCCTGAATGAAGGTTCGCTACCGGCATCGTCTGCCAAGATGCCATCAAGAAGATGCTCCGCGTACGCAGTAAGCACCAAAGACTTCGTTCGCAATTCAGCCATGGAGGTCTTGCTGAATACCGAGAGGGCACCCGATAGTGAGGCGAGATCGATGGCTGAGGGGTTTGAAACTTGGAAACCACCAGCGCCAACAGTAGGGAGAAAGTTGTTATCCATGTTGAAGCGGACCGACTTGTCACCACCGTACCAGCCCGTTAATCTATGGCGAAACTTGGGCTTACCCTCGCTGGTGTCGACCTTTCCGTGTCTTTCGTGGACAAATGCGCCGGCCATTGACCCTGGCCCAGCATTCTGGTATTTGTATGTACACCAGGCCGCGAAGTCAACATTCCAGTCGTGAAGCCGTAACTCGACGTTTCCAGCAGCATGAGCCAAGTCCCAACCGACAATAATGCCCTTCGACTGCGCGTATTCGGTAATCCGCGGCATGTCGAAGAGTTGGCCACTGTAGTATTGTATACCAGGAAGTAAAATGAGGGCAGTCTCCTCTGCATGTTCATCAATGGTCTTGAGAATGAGATCAGTTGAGATGTAAAAGTTCTCATCGGGCTGGATCTGGACCATCGACTTGGACGGATCCAATCCATGCCACTGAATCTGCGATTCGATCACATACTGTCTTGGTCAGCTCGGTATACGAGTAGCATGTATTGACAGTCAACTCACGTGATCACTCGGAAATGGCCGCCATTCAAGGATAATTTTATGCTTCTTCTCTGTCGGTCGGTAGAAGCTGGCCATCAAAAAGTGCAGGTTTGCGGTCAAGGTATTCATCATAACAACCTCTTCGGGGAGGGCGCCGACAATGGCTGCACTTTTCTTCGCCACGTCCTCAGCCATGTCTTGCCAGCAAACAAGGGGTGAGTTTTCGAGGTCCTGAAAGTGGCCATTCACCCCAATCGATGCCCAGGTCTCTAATTGAGCGTGAATGTAGTCCTTGACTGCTTTGGGTGGAACTCCCAGTGAGTTACCACAAAAGTAAACTGATGGAGTCGCATCATCTTCGGACAACGAATTACTTCCATTGGTGCCATTTACCCCATTTGCATTGCCGTTGAGAAGTTGATTGTCTGTGGGGTGATCAGTATTGGATCCCTGATGATTGCTGTGCCACAAATCCTATGTCACTATTTCTTGGCAGGACCTACTAGGGAGCGTTCCGGTCAAAGACTTTTTTTTGAGAGAGCCTTTCGTCGGAAGGATAAAATCATTGCGTAAATAAGCGAGTTTGTCTTGCGCGTCGAGCTGCTGCGCAAACGAGATGGTGTTTGCATTGGCAGGAAACTTGGCCTGGCTCCCAGAGCGAATCTGCTCGGCAAATGCATTGAAATCCATCTTAGATCGTACGACAAACTATGTCAACTTTGCTGGATGATTGGAATACTCTCAGATATGGCACCATTCGAGGCAGAACCGGGGCGTCTTGTTCGTCTTTGTACCTGTCGCCTCCTCATATGACTCGAAATAGCGCATCGTCATTCCGAAAACTTCGCGAGCGGCCCCACCAGCATCCGGCATCCGCTTCCGTCTCAGCCCTAGCGCTTCCGCATATAAGCGACGGGTTTCGGCTTGGTCCACTTATACCATCGGATGACAAGCGTGTCAGTGCAAGATGCATACGGAATACAGAGTAGGTACGGATACAGGTTGGCAAGCAACACGGAGACAGGGGACTTGATACAGGCAGTTGGAGAGCTACTTCTTCATCTTACCACACCCTGACTCGCACTGAACTGTTTTCTGTTCCATGCACATATCAATCAACTCAATCGATCTTTTCTTACCCCCTTCTCCCCACGTATCGAATTCATCATAGTACGCCTCTTTCATTGTGTTGTTGACGTCTAACCCTCGTTAATATGTCTCCTCACGCACTTCCTATGTTCGCAGAACAGGCACAGACAGATGTTCTTGCCTTGATGAAGAAGTACGCCATCACACAGAACGGTTTCCTGCCGGCCGACGCACCGGTCAAAGTTCTTCCGGATCCTTACTACTCACCATGGGAAACAATTGCTCATCATCTCCCGGAGCTTCTCAAGGCAGGCAAGCTGCGACGAGACGTCGAAAGTCTTCCTCTTTTATCGACGAACAAGCTACGCAGTCAATCTGAGTGGAGAAGAGCCTATGTGATTTTGGTCTTTCTGGCGCATGCCTACATCTGGGGCGGAGAACAGGCAGAACAGGTTGGTACCCCGTCTGACTTTGCCAAGGGCTTTCTAACATCAGTTCAAGATCTTGCCTCCAGCAGTAGCTGTCCCTCTCTTACGCGTCTCCGAGCATCTTGAGGTTCCACCTGTCGCGACCTACGCAGGCTTGAACTTGTGGAACTTCTTATCGACTACGAACGATTTTACTGATCTGGACTCTCTTGAGTCTCTACACACTTTTACTGGCACGAAAGACGAGGCTTGGTTCTACTTAGTCTCGGTGGCCATGGAGGCCCAAGGCGCTCGAATTATAACCGACATGCTGAATGCTTTGGAGTCCATTAAGACAAGGCACTACGACACAATCACGCGGGCACTAGAAGCACTGTCTGACAATATTCGACAGATCGGGGCTTTATTGGAACGGATGTATGAGAACTGCGATCCGATGGTATTTTTCTACGAGATTCGTCCATTTCTGGCCGGAAGTAAAAACATGGCAGCAGCAGGCCTACCGAAAGGTGTCTTTTACGACGAAGGCAATGGCCAGGGTACTTGGCAACAACTTCGTGGGGGAAGCAACGGACAAAGCTCTCTTATCCAATTTCTCGACATTGTTCTGGGGGTTGAGCACACATCAGAGGGCAATAGTAACCCACATGCAAGCAAGACCAATACCAGCCAAACACGAATGCCCGCCTTTCACGAGGAAGTCCGCAATTACATGCCAGGGCCACACAAACGTTTCCTCGAACATGTTGCCCGCATGGGCAGCATCCGAGAGCTTGCAAAACTACCGGTTTCAACTGTCGAGCAGCAAGCCTTTTGCAATGCATACCAAGCAGCAATTCGAACGATGACGGAGTTTCGAAACAAGCATTTGCAGATTGTTACCCGCTACATCGTGCTTCCCTCGAAGAAGATGCACAGTGGCGTGAAAGTAGACTTGGCAAGCGCGTCTTCAGTGAAGGACGAGCAGCTCACGGGGACAGGCGGAACAGCATTGATGCCATTCCTGAAGCAAACAAGAGACGAGACTCTGCAGGCGGGGCACTTAGAGAGAGCAGAGCGGAGATGATCATTTAATGCGTCGATCCATGATATCCATAACAGTAGAGCCATCGAGAAGGAGCGAAATTACATAATTCAGTGCTAGACTAATGCAAGGGGATTGAAGAGTCAAACTTCCGCATGTAACCTCAATGCTCCATTCACATGAAGCCGGGTCCACAAATTGGGAAAGTCGATCTGTGTGACCGCTGTGGGTCCTTCTCGTGACGGGAGCGGAAGAGTGACTTCGGATCTCGGATCGCATCGCAGCTGAGCGAATAAGAAACACTAGCCTTCGCAGCGGCGACGAGTGCCCTGATGCTGATATGCATTTACTTCTGTTGCTTCCGAACATGTCGGTTGAAATCTACTATTCCTTAAACGCGCTTCTGCGATTGAAATATTCAAGTCCGGCTTGCATTTTGCCTTCATCTGATAATGGTAAGATGAGGGTAGAACATGCCCAGCCTTGACCACAACTTTCATTTGACCATCATACCAAGCTGCCGCGTGCCGCAGTCTGATATCCGTCATGCCTTGGACTTCCCTAAACTCGACACTATTCCCGGGAACGTAGTGAACAATCGTAGGGGGAAAGTAGAGAGAATGGCCAGTTGAAGGATATTTCACCAGCAATTACTAATTATGACTGTACGAAGGAAGAATACTGCATATTCCGAAAACTGAGGATTTCGACTAATTCGGAGCCAAGCAGTGAAATGAAAACACTCTGCAGGCAGGCATGTACGTCATCGTGTTACAACTCACGCCTGATCCACTGCAGAGTGGTGATTAGGGTAGTTTCCAACTTTCTGTGCACGATATCCTCCTAAGATCGGAAGTGTGATGACGAGGCACCAGGTCAAGTGCACTAAGGCTGGACGTTGGAAGTGGCTCTGGGGTGGCTAGGAGCGGCTCCAACAGATCGTGATTACACCGTGCATCCGTCAACGTGTATATCAGCGGAAGTACTGTATCATGTGCCCTGGCACTGACAGAAGTTTACCCAACCACGGCTAGCGCCGAGCAAGTTCCGCCCTCGGAAAACTTCCACATCGGCACTGGCTGGTTTACTCCCTCCGTGTCCCGATCTTCGCTCTTCCGCATGTCTGTCTGCACAGCAGCGAAGTAATTACGGCTGTAACACTATGGAAGATGTTTCGGGGCAAGAATCATCGCCACACGCCTATGTCCGCACAAGAGTCGCCAACGCTTGCGACAGCTGCAAGGCCCGTAAAGGTACAATTCCCATTTCGTCTCCGAATGTCTCTCACGAGCCAGTTTGCTTTTGGATTTGATCAATGTTGTGTCTACTAGTTAGCTGAATGTGCTAGCTCCCGGCCCACAAACAATCTGAGCGCGCACTCGCATGCTGTGGTTCGTGGATCATTATCTGAATTCTATTTTGACCATTCCGTGTAATAGTCAAATGCGATGGCAAGTTGCCATGCAGCTACTGCTTGAGACGGCAACGTCCTCTCACGTGTCGATACTCTCCGCAACAGAGGCGAAGAGCTCCGGCGCCCCTTCTGAGAACGCCGTCTCCGTCTGTGCACAATGGCCCAGATATTCAGTCCGAGACCCGGCAATCAGTCACGTCACACGAGGCCCTCGCCGAAGAAGAGACAGAAGTCCCCCGAGAAGCACGTCTTTTGTGCGACGCTCAGGGGAAAATAAGTACGTCTATCCCAAAGAATATACATACCTAATTCCCCAACTGATATGTTGTATGTCATCAAGTCTTCATTGGAGATTGTGCGCCGTTGTCATTCTTCCAAACTGTCCGCCAATTGGTGAACACACGCGTCGATCCGCAAGTCTTTGCGCACCAGACCGAAAATCCACCTTTTCGACCGCCGGTTCATCATTCCGGAAACGACGAGCCCACTCTCCAACTTACGACAATATCGGGTGCCGTTGTAAGGTACCATGAAGTGGTGAGACCTCCTCCTTGTTTTGCTACGGAGTGCTCAACTTTGATAACCAATTGTACGTGATCTCACAGACTAGTGGCCTTGTTGATCTGTTTGGACATGCGCAACTCGGCAACGAAATCAAGTCTTGGGCTCGTCAGAACCATAGACTACAAGACGCAGTATCCGCCACTTTTTTCCTTGTTCTTGCCATGGGCTACCAGTCTTCCGAGGAAGACCTTGCATCTTCCTACTTTGAATATGCGCGCAATATCGCCCTTGCAAATCTCAGTGGAAACATCAATGTCCCAACCATTCAGACGTTCATTCTAGTCACTGTCTATATGCTCGGTTCATGCCAAATGAATGGGGCATTCCTATTCTTCGGTATGTCCCCGGGAGAACTATCAGTCATAACAGTACTTAGGGTGGTTCATACTAACCACAGGGCAAACTTGCAGGCATCGCAGTAAGAGCAGCCTACTCGATTGGGATCCACCGCACCGAGATCAACTCTCGATTTGGTGCAGACGTTCATAGACAGCGGTACAAACCCCCTTCGTTACTCTGTCACCAACACAAACTGCTAACACCCATACTTGGTAGGGATCGCCTGTGGAAGAGCCTGCGTGTCTTGGATCTCTTCTTAAGTACATCGATGGGCCGGCCACCTGCGACATCTGACGTGGATTGCACTGTACCCTACAGGGAGCTGGACGATGAGGGACAAGAAATCTTCGATCTACTCAATGCCTCAGCGCAAATATTCTTGATCACTGAAGGCATCGTCGTAGAGGTGTACTCGAGAAGGAAGGTTTCGTATCAATTGACCGAGGGTATCTCACGACAGCTACGAGACTGGTCAATTCGGTGGTTACAGAGGCTAAAGGACACTGTTTCCGACATACGATCTGACCAAGAGGCAAGCAAGGTGACAGGAGCATGTCAGGTCCTTTGTTCCTACTACTACGGTCAGTTTACCTGGCGACTTTCCGTCCAGCACGTCGACTCAAAGAGATTATACTGACGTTATACAGCGGTAATCTTGGTCTCACGACCTTTCCTAATGTATGAATTGCACAAGCGACTAGCCGACGGGGTTACCGAGACACCAACAGCAACTTCAGGTCTGACCTCTGGCAAGTCGAAACTTGCTGATGCGTGTATCGATGCCGCAAGCTTCATGGTCGACATTTTAGTCGGCCTAGTCGAGAAAGGGGTTTTAATAGGGCACATGCCTTTAGTTGTGTGAGTGATCATACCGATGCAGTATTATTGAACCTGACTTATTCATTTCTGTAGCTCTTGGTTATTTGCTTCATCTCTCATCTTGGGCGTGGGTCTCCTCGGATCCTTTGGCCGCATTTTGGAAAAGTACACGCGAAATTCCATATTGGTACTAGAACATTTTGCGAAAACCGATGCCCACGCCTCACAATACTCACTCATTGCAAAGTCATTACTCAACGCTGCTCTTGAGTATTTGGAAAAGAAGGAACTCAGAGAGCGTATGCAGCGTACTGAAAGCTCCTCACAGCTTTTCGGGCTTGTTCCGCGAGAAAGCACTGAAAGCATCCACAACATCCAAGCTTCAGCTACTGAGGCTAGTCCGAATACAAGCACGGATCGAAGCCTCGTGTCGAGGACAAATAACTCCGCCTCTGGTTTTCTTGGACTTGGTTCGCCATCTTTTGTGGACGTGGACGCGTCCTTTTTAGGCCTTTCATCCTCCTTACCCAGAACGCCGGATTTATCTATGCTTGATGGAAGAAACGAGATGGATCATGGGTTTGGGGATCTAAACTTGTTCCAACTCCTCGATGGCGACGGACACATTGATCTTGGACCTTATATCTAATGAGAATTCTCATTGGAAAGTTCTTCGAAGATTTACTTGAGATGTCGTACGGCGTTAGAAATTTTGGTTCAAAGGCTGGGGCCAGAAGAAGATTCAAAGCTTATTCTTCAAAGGTTATTATTTCCTATCGTTTTGTAGCGCTCTGATTCAAAGTGACTCTTGCCAGTCTCACTGCCGTTTCAAGAAGAAGGCAAGACAGTTATAAATCTAGTTGGACCGAATGAAGACTTGCACATACGAACTATGACCACGAAAAACTTACTCCTACTGGCTCGGCATCTTCCAGCGGCTGGTTTTGCCTTGCTCCACACCTCTACTAGGTATGGGATGGATACGGATACTCCACTTGCTATCAACGGCCAACAGGAGTCACATACAGGTGAATGTAGAGTAACCGTACGCTACCTTAGGCTAGCTTGCACACCCTGACTTAACGCACCACGATCTTAGAGCACGATATGTTTCGTAGGCTACATCCAAGTTCTAGCTGAGATGTATGATATCGGGATACCTTCACTTCTCTTTGCACCAGATGTGTCTGAAAATGAATTCCCTGTGTCGCCAGGAGGAGCGACATCTAGCAGTACGCTTTGATACATACTTAGAATTATTAGCGCACACCGTGGAACAATGCCATTGAAATCGCTAGCTTTTGCTTGCTGTGCGAGACACTGCGCAAAATTTTTCGCAGAGGCCTGGTTGGATTGCACGCTGGGTGGCTTGATTCACTTGATGGGTTACGAAAAGAGTCTCTTCAGGAATATTTCGCCTAAAGGGGACGTGCTGCTTCTAGATGGGTCCCTTGACCAGTGTTTGGCCTAGACACAATTTGGTAGCATTACTTGGTGGCAGCCTAGCTAGAGGTCTTCGACGCTTTACGAATACGTTTTAATCACAGCTGCAGGGGCGCTGCAGCCGAGCAAGCCGCTCGGTTCCTAGGCATTGGCCTCGATTTAAACTTCGTCACCCTTTCCGACTGGCGTCTCACAACGAGAGTCTGCGCAACTTCCCACTCATATTGACGCCACCGACAGTTGTGCTGCAGTGTGATAGACGAGGGCATCGGCTTCTGAAAGACGTACCAAAAAAGCGCTCACAACGGGACATCCCGCATGTCTTTCAATTCCTGGTCGGCCCGCAATCGCCCCCCTGTACATACCCGTTCCCGCTATCGGCAGAAAAGATTGAACGAGACTCCTGGTGCACATTTCGCGTATGTCGTCAGCTCACTCATCTCGCGAGATGTCGGCCCCTCCTCCGAACAGATCTTCTACAAAGCAGCCTCGGCCTCTAGCATGCATGCTATGCCAACGTCGAAAGGTCAAATGTGACCGGAAATACCCGTGCGCAAATTGTGTCAAGGTCTGTCTTGGGAAACGTCAGCAACATATTGTAATGCTATGGATCTCTGGATCCGAAGCGGAGGAGCCAGAGCTTCCGCATATCTATCGAACAACACATCTCTTTTCTTCTTATTGCTTCCTTGCTTGCTCTTGAACTCTTGCTGACCTCTACATTCTCCAACCTAGTCTAATACGACATGTAGTCCTAGCATTCCGGCACCAGTGCGAAAGCGTAGACGTCCTAATGCGGAGCTGCAAGCTAGACTTGCTCGTTGCGAGGAGCTTTTAGCCCGATATGCAGCTGCAAGCGATGAGTCCCTGGAAGATAACGGTACAGTCGCTCAGCCACAGTCTTCCAGCATTCCCCAGTATGAGAACCACGAAGTCAACTGGAAACCCGCTGGCAAGCTTGTGACGGAAGGTGGTACTGTGCGTTTCATGGACAACTTTCTATGGGCCACCGTCTATGAAGAGGTACGACCTTTGGAATATCCGTCTCCAGGCTGCGCTTCTTGCTAAGAAAACAACACCTTTAGCTACGTGGGATGAGAAACCTTGTGGAACGCGAAGAGGACATCGCTGAGGCGGAACCGTCCGACTGGGACCCCGGAGCTTCAATGCCCGATTACAGCGAATATCTTCTTGTCGGAGGTAACTTGCCGTCTGAGAATCCTCATGATCTTTACCCGAACGCCGGTCAAATTTTCGGCTTATGGCAGATCTTTCTCGAGAGAGTGAATTCTCTTACGAAAATCATACACCCTCCTACCTTGCAGCAGTCCGTGGCAGAAGCTGCCGCTGGCCCAGGGTCCTTGCCACACAACATTGACGCCCTTCTCTTCGCCGTGTACAGCATGTCTATCGTCTCCATGACTGATGACGAGTGCCTCGCAATGCTAGGCTCCACATGCAAAGCTGCGTTTTGGCGGTTTTCATCCGGAGTACGAGCGAGTCTGCTACAGGCGCAATTTCTCAAATCTCACGATCTGACAACACTCCAGGCATTAGTTTTGCACATTGTAAGGCCACTTAGTCTTGATTGTTGCTGTTTATTTCGCTAATTGTGTCAAGATGTCGATACAGGGCAGGTGCAACATCCATGGAGCTTGGATTTTGAATGGTATCTGTGTACGAATCGCCCAGAAAATGGGCCTCCACAGAGATGGGGAACTTCTCGGCCTTTCGTCTTTTGAAACCGAGATGAGGCGGCGGATTTGGTGGCAGATTTTCATGTTGGACTCCAAATTCTCCATGATATCAGGACTGAGCCAATCACTACTTCCTCGACCTAGCGACTGTAAACTTCCTAAAAACCTAAATGACGCGGACTTACATGCGGGTGCAACGGAGCGATATCAGGATCGCGAAGGCCCGACAGACATGGTAATTCCACTCTTGGTGTATCAAGTTGGCTTTTGCATCCAGCAGCAGCAAGACATCGAATCGTTAATGCTCTACAACGAATTAAGTACCTTGAGCTCAGGAAGAAGAAGCAAAGTACAGTCGGCACAAATCAGCGCCTTTATCAAGAATCTCGAGAGTCGGCTCAATACTGTGATCGATAAGAACTCCGATCCTACGGCTGGCCCTGTCCACGAGTTCGCCGGTCTTTTGAAGTCTCTGATACTTCAAAAAGTTCAGGAAACGAGTCGCCCTCCCCAAGAACAACCAGAATGGGGCTCGGAGATCATGACACCCAAAGACAACCTATTTAAATGGTCTGTCATGACCACCGAGCAGAACATCAATGCCTATAGGTCGAATAGACACCCTGAGTTCCACTGGTTTCTCAAGTTGCTATTTCAATATGACGTAGTAATTTTCATGATCGGCCAGCTTAGCCAGAGAATGACCGGGGCTATAGTCGAGCGGGCCTGGCAGCTACTGCCGTCTATTTACGAGTTTCATCCCGAGTTTTTTGACCCTTCTCAGGAGTACAACATCGCTCTAGCCAAGTTTACGATGAAGGCCTGGAAGAAGCGTGATGACTATCTTTCATCTCGACAAGGACTACGGCCAGAAGAGCCAGACTATATGAAGCGCATTAGACAGATTTTAGGGCTCTCCTTGAATAGGTCTGCTACTGAGACCGGGCTGCCGGTCCATGAAGATGCACTGAGCGCCGAGAGCCAGATTGGACAAGCCTCTATGGAGCAGATGTTCTCGACGTATCTCGGTGCAGCTGCAGCATGGGATTCTTTAGCGCATCCCGACGAAGAGTGCATTCAGGAGCAGCTCTCCATGTTAGACAATTCGGACACGACAGTACCAAGAAACTGGTGATTTTGTGGCTACAAAGCGTGAGTATAGGATACGCAGGCTAATGTTTCCCACCGTAGCTACTTAGCTACCTAACTAAGGGGACTTACTGAGATTTCGAGTCTGGAAAGGCATAGCCCTCTTACGGATCTTTGCTGAGAGGGTAGCACCGGTGTTGCGTGCCAGTATACGCGTGTGCCACACTAGGTCATTGTATTAGGAAGTCACATGCGTACAAGAACTGCCGGTATGTACTTAGTTTCGAGGCTTGATTTACAGAATGGTATTGCATTATAAAGCCGGTGAAGGATTAAGACCCTCGGACGTTACCGCCTGGATTATATACAGAACGGAGCTCACTATATATACAGACCCTAACTTCCCTACCTTAGGTATATGATAATAACATTATTAATGGGGAAGTCCTATTGACTAGTTGCACCCCATGCTTTCCGTACTGACTCTGTCAAGTACCCCTCTTGATATACTAAATCGAATTAATACTAACTTATTAAGACTACATATACAACGGACACTATTAAGGAAAAGTCACCTCCCTGGCTTGGGGCTCTGAGCACAATTTTATAACTTCATAGGAAATGTGATCATGTGACTTTCTGAATAATTCGCCTTGTTCATAGGTCAACTAGTCAAGGTGGGAAATAGGGTTTACCTAGATACTTTACGTTAACTGAAACATTAGTCCTTCGTACGGGACAAGTCCTGCGGGTTGGACAGAAAGGCACTGTCACTATTTTGTACCCAACTTTGAAGCTGAGATTTACTTGAGGTTTTTCAGCCCTGCCATATCTTATCTATACTGAGTATATGAGTAGAAGCTATCGAGACAGTGATAGTATCCACTGATACTAGGTATTAATACCTTGTAAGAGTATCGAGAACCGCCCGAGCGATCAGCCAAGGTAGGACCATACTGAGATAATTTACTTATTAAGTAGAAGAAATAAGGAAAGTGATAAAAAGAATATAAATCCAAATATTTTTTGCATCACTATTAAGCCCTGATTAATTCACAGCCACACACATTCCCATATATCGACAAGTTAAGCCCTCACAAGAGAAACAAACATTCAGTAGTAATGTAATACCGAGCTTAGGGACCACATCCATTTGTCTCTGGACTCCTTCATCAAGTCACTAACCTGAGGAAGCCCAGAAACTCGGATAGAGACGAAGTGGTCCTCAGGGGAAACCAACCCAGGTAGCCGGTTCTGAAAATTGGATACCAGAGCTACCGGCACATAAACCGTCAAAACACCTCGGCTTGGGGTGTACTCGAATTTTAAACCTGAATTGGTGATGGAATTTCCGTCTTGGTCTTGAAACGAAACACTGACGGCATCGGAAGCGCTTGGTGCTGTGCACTTTTCAGTCCAGATGGCGAGTTGCTACGTGTCACCAATAAGAGCAGACGCGTTGAATTGGTTCCGAGGATGAGAGAGCTTGACAATGCGCAACGCGCTGTTACACTCCTAAGCCAGGTATCAGATATATACGCTGACATTGACGTACGATGGACTGGACCAACCTGATGAATCTTGACTTGGCGGAAGTAGCCCTTGGCCTCACTCGTAGTAGAGGTGGCAGCATGAGGATACCTGTATTGAGGTGGACAGGCCGGCGCACTGTCCCGACTGACGCCGTCATCCAAGTACATGGCGTAATGCTAAACCGTCACACCTATCAGTCTAAGTTCTTGACCCAAGTTGTAGAAGGTCACTTGCCGTTGGGTTTCGCCCTAGTACATTGGGATAGATGCGAATTGTAGGCGTGTTCACACCGCCTTCAATTACAAACTGGCGGTGGTGAAGTTGCGGGATGATGGTCCCTGTGATGGTCAGACTTAGTCATGTTTAATGGGTGCTTCAGTTACTTGCCGTCTCGGACATATACTGGTGTGATGAAGGGTATTTGCTCGGGTTGATACCCGGCGTTGGGTATCTAACACCCATGACTTATCGTGGTACCACCACATACGGATTGCCCTAAATCAGCACCATGCTTGATTTGCTATGGGCCCTTTCCTTGATTCTGCACGTCGATGCGGAGGTTCAATGGGTTCCACTGATCAGAACCGGGCAGATAAAATGGCCTGTGGTTTACGCCTGGATTCAGGACGAGGCAAACCAATATGCTGTGACCAAGAAGATATCGATTGTGGATGAAATTGTTATTTGCATTGAACAGCGTTGTGTCTTCCGGATCAGTAATAAGCTAATCGTTTTAGTGAACAACCTCATTCGGAGTGCGGAGCAAGATTATGTGGCGTATCATGGCGCGGGCAACGGGAAAACCTTTAATCAGGTTTGTAAACATAGTATTGTATGGTACCTGCATGAGCGGATATCGGAGGCGGACGTAGTAGCGGCAAATCGGCTCGACTGATATGTAGAGGTTGTACACATCTTGGCTGGGCCCCTGAAGAGCTTGCGGGTCATTCTGAAAAGCGTATGTGTACTGCCACGGTTCCTTGACAATGATTAACGTAAGTAAAGTATGGGAAGCTTCAGAGTATCCACAATTACCTGGAACTTCTTGCCGCCGAAATGCTGAATGTAATGATTTCGGTACCAGGGCAGCAAAAATGCTCCAGTGTACCAGCGAATCAGCAGCTCTGGGTCACACCACTGCGGGGGGCTGAGGTTCTTGTCTGGATCGGGGTTAAAGCCTCCCATGTCAACTCCTGCGATTGTCATGCCACTGTACCCCAGAGCAATGACCTGCGCAACTGATATTTACAGAAATCCCAAGAACTGCCGTTGTCACCAGTCCAAAGGCCAGCGAATCTGTGCCTGCCAGCAAGGCTACCACGGCCGATGATAAAGTTGCGCTTGTCCTCTCTTCCTTTGAGCTTATTTGGCTCTTTGTACGTTGCTCGTGCAAGTTGTACGAGTAAAGACCCCAAGGCTCAATAGCAGTTTTCGTCCATGGTTTGACGTTCGGATCCTGGTTGGGAGTGTCATCGGACACGAGAAGACGGGGTCTACGTATATAGACTTTAATGGAGGAGTCAGAAGATCCGACTCAATGACACGGACCGGACGTTGGGCAGAAAGAAGGAAGGGGCCGGGGCATTCGTGCTGGGTAAAGGTAGTTGCCTTTATCGTGGCGAGCATCCTTAGAATGGCCGCCACACTGCTCGGGGTGACCCAGCTCTAGGTCGCTTGGTGCGACTGGCAAGGCGGAAGCGGTTCGGGATGCACTCCAAAAGCACCTGCTTGATCTAGAGTGGACAGAGCGGCAACCTTTTACTCAATGTTCATTCGAATTAATTGCGACTCGTACCCAAGCGTAAACCAACTGAACTAGCTGTCTTTACCTCGCGTTACTTTGTACATATTATTTTAAGTCACTTAGTGTAGTCTCTTGCTATAGACAAGTAACTTGTGAAATATTTTTGAAACCCCAGCTGCTTAATAGCTGTCTTAAGTTTATAAGAACAAATGAACTATCCTCGTAGACACCAGGTCATAAATGTTCGATGAAATCTGGTCAGCATGCTTTGATGGTGTTGATATTCGGACAAACTTTCGACAAGTAATTTTCATCGGCCACATGCACATGAAGCCTCGTCCAACCTGGGGTCATATAGACTAAAGCAGACTTTACCTCACATGAGGCTAGATCGCGTCGAAACCGGTGACAAAGTTCGTAAAGTGCATATTATTCCCCTAGTATAGTGGTGTTAAATGAGTGACACGAAAATGATCCGCCATGCAAGCCCTGCTTCAGTGCTGTGGGCCAGAGTCGAGTGAAAACCTTGTCCTGAACCCATAACCTTAGACAATCACTAGTCTAAGAGAGTGAATGAGCCAGAAGACAACTGTTAACATCGAGTGATAGTTAGCCGATAATAACTGATTCGGTTGTACGCCAACAACTAATGTACGTTTTTGCCCAAGAGCCGACAGCTAAAGAATCTCATGCCTACATACAGTAGACTCGCTTATAGACCTCCCCACTTAGGACAACGGCTACTTCAGGCGAGGTAAAACTAAGGATGCCAAACGGTCAATCAAGGCGGAGCCGGCAGTCCCTAGTAGCTGGAATAGGAGATGTACGATTTTTTTTTTCAATATCAGAAAGGCTTTTTGAGACAAAGCAGAAGTTCTTCCGCATCTAAGACCACACGTCAAGCTCGCATACGGCATCACTGACAGTGCTTGGGCGTGTGTCTTAATCTCATCTATCTCAGAGTCAATCGCACTTTGCTAACCCCAACACAGACAGTCCATGTAGAAGCCAATCAAACCCAAAGTCCTACTCCATCATTCTACGATTCATCATGCTGCATTTCATTGATGGCTCCGGAATCTGTGGAATTAGAAATTATCGCTAGAGGTTTACTTCAATCAGCCTTCACCAATACGGTTTAGCCTACCAAACTCAGTACCACTTTACGTGCATCCTCTTCTATTGTTAATGCCTCTGATTCTCTCACTATATTAGACGCAATAGAGAGCCATAAGGCCCAGGGGTAAGCTATGGGTCGTATGAACCACTAGTCCAGTAGAGCTCGCTAATAGCGCCGATTTAAGTTAGCTTAGATGCATTACCGACGACGTTTTCCTAGAAGAGAGTTTAAACACTTTTCTAGAACGCACTACTTAGGAAAACCTTCACAGGACACAGTGCTCGGGAAAGCCGAGCGAAAGTCTCCGGACACGGGCTACTCGGTGGACAATCACTCGGTCAGACCGATCCCCCTCCTGAGCGCCGCTAGCGATTGCGATCCATTTAGAGACCAGTATTCATTAAAGCTCGAACCGCTTTCTGAGCAAAGAACTCCTAGAAATACGAACTTCGCAAAGTACCTGCCTACAGAGATGCCTTGCGACAATTCGACTCAGGGTCAGATCTTGCGTTTGGTACATGTACACTTTTCCGCGGAGCAGATCGTCCCAGAGAATGTTAGCCCCATCAAAGTTGTATAAGACGAAAGCTTGAATTAACTAGACCAGGCGACTTTTGCGGTGGCAATCTAACGTCTGCATTAGGCGAAGCTACGAAAGCGGAATTATGCTTCGAACCCTGGCCAGGGTTCATGTACATGTGTTGATAGGAGTGATGATGGCAGTTGGTAGTCGATATGAAGAGAACCGATGAACAGACGAATAGCAAGAGAAACACTATATAATAGAGAGGCAATCCGCAGGATTAAAATAACTCCAATAGTTGAACAAGCAGCTTCAACAGAGTCCCTCATTCTAAGTCATTTACTATCACGCTCTTTCATCACCATTCAGGTCCCTCGCTTAGCCTGAGCCTATAGCACTATCACACCCAAGTCAACAACAATACTGAAATGCGTTTCTCTACCGTTGCCGCCGCCCTCCAGGCCGTTGCCTTTGTTCAGGCTGCCGCTCTGCCGGCTATGCCCGCTGGCGAGCTCATCGAGCTCGTTAAGGACGATACCATCTCACTCCCTGGTGATGCCACCGTTGATCTAGTTGCCCGCAAGGAGGTCAACGAGGTTCACGCCATCGAGAGCATTGCCGAGCAGACCAACTCTGCCGACAAGAGTGTTGTCGTTCGCGAACTCGAGAAGCGCACGCTCAACATTAAGCTTGGCGCCGACACCGGCAATCGCTACCGCGCCACTATTAACGGCATCGCTATTATT